TCATCACGTTTCAAGCATTGTTTAAGACCCCTTGAGGTCATTCGTCCAAAATAATTTAGCTTGTTTGAGGTAAATGACCTTAGACTACCATCATAATAATGAAGCTAGGGATTTGGGTTGGGGGAAGAAGTTGCAAAGTTTTGAATCATTGCAGATGATGATGATGATGATGATGATGATGGTGTATCACCATGATAATCACCACCGTCCATTTTATGCTCCTGCATGTGAATAAGATTTGGTTGATTAGTGGTGATGATCCCACCACATGTACCAGCAGCAGCAAGCCTAAGTGTAAAAGCAGTAATATCAACGATGTTATTCTTGTTGCAACTAGGGAGTCTAGTGTTGTTTATGCTATTGGTGGTGCAACAGCTTTTAACATTTCTTCAACTATGAACTCTGAAATTTCTCACACCATCGCCTTCAAATCCCAGGTACAGAAAATTTCTTCCTTTTTTTCCTTTCAAATCAAGGCAAATTTTCAAAGGATATTTATTTCTATCATAAAAAATTGATCTTGAACTTGGACTGTCCCCAAAAGGGGGATTTTGGTGATTCTTTATTTTTTTATGGAGAAGGGGGAATAAAGTAAAAGGTTTGTTTGTTTGACTGTAGAAGTAGGGATGGCGGCATCTTTGGAGTTTTCTTTTATAAGTGCACAGTGGAAGGAGCTTGAGAGGCAAGCTCTAATATGTAAGTACATGATGGCCTCCTTATTGTAGAATCAGTTAAGAAAACTAATTCAAACCAACATTAAACTCCAAAAAAAATCTTGAGAAACATGTGAAAGGTGAAGGAAATGATATAAACTGAGCTAGAGATGATGCTCATATTTTTCCCATTGATTTTCATACATTTTATCATCAGTTTCTAGTATGTTCTTTTATACAAAACATTTCCTTCACGTACAATTTAATAATAATATAAACCCTATAAAGCAAAGGCATGGTGTTGCATACAATTAATGCCAGCCTACATTTTCAGGTGAACACTTAACATCAAAGATATATAGATATTACATTGGAAAATCAACAAGGAAACTTCTCAACAACTTAGTTGAACTTGAACTGAACATGAACAGTGCATGTGAATAGTAACTAGTTGCACTGTTTCATTGATCTTCAACACTCCTTGAGAGGTTTCTTTGTTAACCCAAGTATAGACCTTAGAGTTTCAAATCTGGATTTTGGTAAGGATTTTGTGAGAATATATCAGTAGCTTGAACTTCAGAATCATAGTGTAGAAGCTTAATTTCCTTCTCCTTAACATATTGCCTGATCACATGGTATTTCACATAAATATGCTTTGTTCTTTCATGCTGTACTAGATTTTCAGCAATTGTAATGGCTGATTTGTTGTCAATTTGGATCACACATGGTAGAACTTGAGGTTGTCCCATATCATTCAATATTTTCCTCAACCATATAACATGATTTGAGGCAACTCCAACAGCAATATGTTCTGCTTTTGTTGTAGATTCCTACTTGGATGAAGTCCAGCAAAACATCCTTGAACCAAATGAAAAGGCATATCCTGTAGTGCTTTTTGAGTCGTCAAGACATTTTGCCTAGTCACTATCCACATAGCCTTGCGAAGAACCATCACTTGTACACTTATACATAATTCCATAATTAATAGTTTCATTTACATCTGTCAAAACTCTTTTAGTAGCACTGAAATGAGTTTGAGATGGAGAAGTCATGTACCTTGATAATAGACTGGCAGCGAACATAAGATCAAGCTTTGTTGCTGTAAGATAGAGCAAACTCCCAATCAAACTTCAATAAAATGAAGTGTTACACTTCAAGCTGTCATCTTCCTTAGACAATTTCAGATTCTGTGTAAGAGGAGTGGCAATTGGCTTGCATTTATCCATTCTAAACTTCTTAAGAGTGTCCTTGGCATATTTCTCTTGTGAAACAAAGATTTCGTTGCTGCATTGCATCACTTCCATTCCAAGAAAATATTTCATCTCTCCCAAATCTGTCATTTCAATTTCATTCTGAATGGAAGCCTTGAATTTTTGGAGTTTAGTGTTTCCTCTAGTCACCAAAACATCATTAACATAGAGAGAGACTAGCAACTGAGAATCAAGATTTCCACCCTTAGCATAAAGAGTGAATTCCGTTTCACTTCTTTGAAATCCTTGTTCTGTCAAGTAGGAATCAATCCTACTATACCAAGCTCGAGGGGCTTGTTTCAGGCTTTAAAGAGCTTTATGCAGCTTGTAAACATGATCTTCACAGCCTTCAGCTAGAAAACCTTTTGGTTGTTCAACATATAACTCCTTTTCTAGAAATCCATTGAAAAAAGCAAATTTGACATCTGAATGACAAACCTTCCATTTCTTTTGAGTAGCTAAGGCCAAGAGAAGCCTTATAGTATCATGCCTAGCTACTAGAGAAAATGTCTCTCCAAAATCAACTTGAGGTTGCTGTGCATACCCTTTTACCACAAGCCTAGCCTTGTGTTTGTTCAAAGAACCATCAGCATTTAACTTTGATTTATACACCCACTTAACTCCTATAGCATTTTTGTCTTTTGGTTTAGGAGTAAGTGACCAAGTACCATTTTTTTCAATTGCAATAAGCTCTTCCTGCATTGCATTTCTCCATTCTTCATGCTTGGATGGTTCTGCATAATTAGATGGTTCATCTATTGTAAAACTGCATTGCTCATAAATTTCCTCTAAAGACTTTGTTTTGAATATAGGAGAATGATCCTTCGTATCAGCAATTCTCCCATTTAAATTTGAATTAGCAATTCTGGTTCCATCAACATCATCCTTCTTCAAAACAAAACAATGTTTTTCAATTTTTTGCTGCCCAAAGTTCTAGTAGGCATCTTCATCAAATTTAATATCCCTGTAAACATTCACCTTCTTAGAATGCACATCATACACCCTACAACCTTTGGATTGAGTTGCATAGCCCACAAAGGTGCCAACATTTCCTTTTTGGTCCAACTTGGTTCTTTTTACATTTGGAACATTACTGTAACACACTAAACCAAACACTTTAAGATGGTTGGCACAAGGTCTGATGCCATACCATGCTTTTACCGGAGTTTTTCCTTTCCCAGCCTTTGTAGGAAGAGAATTGAGTAAATACATAGCTATATAAACAGCCTTAGCCCAAAATGATTTAGGGAACCTTTTTTCATGCAACATGCACCTAGCCATTTCCATTACAGGCCTATTCTTGTCCGAGACACCATTTTGCTAAGGTGAATATGGAACTGTTAGTTAGTGCCCAATGCCAACATTTTCACAAACTTTGTTAAATTCAGAAGAGGTGTATTCCTTGCCATTATCAGACCTCAAGGTCTTGATTTTGCAGCCACTCTGGTTTTCAACTAAGGCTTTGAACTTCTTGAACATTGAGAAAACTTGATTTTTGTTGCTCAGAAAATACACCCAAGTCATCCCCGTAAAATCATCAATAAACAACATGAAATACTTGTTGCTGTTGAGTGACACTATTTTCATAAGTCCACAGATGATGGTATGAACAAGTTCAAGCTTTTCAGTGGCTCTCCATGCTTGATTAACTAGAAAAGCTTGTCTATGCAGCTTTTCAAGTTGACAGGCTTCACACACATCATCACTCAAATCGATGCTTGGCAAATCTCTAACCAACTCATTTGTTTGTAAGATTTTAAGAGATTTTAGATTGAAATGACCATATCTCTTGTGCCATAACCATGTATCATCACATTTAGCAGCATATGAGCAAGATTGAATTATATTCCAATTCACAAGAAAGCTGTTGTTAATCAAGCATATCTAGTGCATATATCATGTTTGAATTGCAAACTATAGCCTTTCTTCATCATTTGAGCTATTGATAATAAATTTTGACTCAAGGAAGGAATGTAAGGAACATCTGAAATCAGTTTGATACCTGAAGGAGTTTGTATAGCAATTGTTCCCTTCCCTTATGCTTACACCATTGAACCATTGCCCAACTTGACTTTTATCTTCACAGACTTGTCAATCTTTGTGAAGTTATCTTCATTTTTCCCCTTTTGCTTGTTCCACCCCTTTTCCCCTTCCCGGAATTTTTTTGGGGGGTTGGACTTCCCTTGATTGGCCAGGACCAGTTGTTTTTCCCTTTTTCATTCTTTTGGTAGTTTTGTTTGTTTTGTTTTTTTTGTTTTTTCTTGGCCTTTTTTTGCTTTGCTTGCTTTTTTTTTTTGCCCAACTTTTTTATGTGTGTGTCTGTACTTTTTTTTTTTCTTTTTATCCTTGCTTTTTTTTGTCTTGTTTTTTTTTTTTTTACTATACGCGTGTTGTGGAACTGTGTTTTTTGTTTTTTTTTGCTGTTTTTGTTTTTTTTTTAACCAAATTCCCTTTGTGAAGGCTGTTATAAGAGGGCTTAGAATCTGAACTTGTAGCTACTTGCTTTCCTTTTTGTCTTGCTTGGAACACACCTTCAGTTGCAGCAACTTGACCTTTTAGATTCAATCTTTGTTCATGAGTTTTCAACTTGCTGATAAGCTCATTAACAGTCATTGTATCCAAGTCACAAGTTTCTTCAATGGTTGAAGTTTTGGACTCGAACTTGTTTGGAACACTCACCATGATCTTCTCAACAACCTTCTTGTCTGGAAACTCACCACCATTTGCCTTGATTCGATTCACCAAGTCTTGTAGCTTGGTTGAATATTGGTGAATGGTTTCATCTTCTGACATTTTCAGCATCTCAACTTGTCTCTTGAGTGTGATAACATTGTTACCTTTCACTCTTGTATCACCTTCAAACTCATTTTTCAGAGTATCCCATGCTTCCTTTGTTGTTTCTGCACCCGTGATCCTTGGAAAAAGTGAATCTACAACACCACTATGGATGTGTGAAAGTGCATGGTAAGCCTTTTCTACATACTCTGAATGATTTTTTAACTGAGCAACAGTAGGATTGTTAGCAATATGAGGAAGATGAAAGCCATTATCCACTGAATCCCAAACACTATTTCCTTTCAAGAAAACCTTCATCTTCACTGACCACATGCTGTAATTTTCCCCTATGAACAGAGGTGGATTTGAAAGTGAACTAGAATTGTTTCGGGACATTGTTCTATTTGCTGAATCACAGACTTCTCTCCCTCACCACAAGTCATGTTTACACACTCTCACTACACTCACAGATCCCCCAAGAAATGGGCTCTAATACCATTTGTAAGATTAGTTAAGAAAATTGATTCAAACCAACATAAAACTCAAGAAAAAAATCTTGAGAAACATGTGAAAGATGAAGGAAATGATATAAACTGAGCTGGAGATGATGCTCAGATTTTTTCCATTGATTTTCATACATTTTATCATCAGTTTCTAGTATGTTCTTTTATATAGAACATTTCCAGCACATTACAATGTTCACCTACAATTTAATAATGATATAAACCTCATAAAACAAAGGCATGGTGCTACATAAAATTAATGCCAGCCTACATTTTCAAGTGAACACTTAACACTAAAGATATATAGAAATTACCTTGGAAAATCAATGAGGAAACTTCTCAGCAACTTAATTGAACTTGAACTAAACATGAACAGTGGACATGAACAATAACTGGTTGCACTGTTTCATTGAACTTCAATACTTACTAGTTCCTCTTGATCTTCTCTTCCCCAGTATCAAGAACCCTTTAGCCCTAGTTACTTCTCACTGTCCTTGTAATCAATTTTACCTTCCAATTTCTATACTTGTCAACGATGGGTCTTGGGGTTTGTTTGGAAGGCGTTTCAAAAAATGTCCCTTTGGGGTCTAACAAGTTGTCTGTGTTTGCTCTGAGGTAGTGGGATCTAGTTTGAATCTAAGGTTTGCAGGCAAGGGGGACCTTGAGCCAAGAAGGTGCAGGAGAATAGATGGGAAGAAATGGAGGTGCTCCAGAGACATGGCGTCAGACCAGAAGTACTACGAGCGTCACATGCACCTTTGCCATCCTCGTTCAAGAAAGCCTGTGGAACATCCTAAGAAGAAGACTCGCCCTAGCCATACTCAAGATCTTCCTTTGTCTCCTTCCACAATTGTTCTTCCTAATTCTTGCATCACCACTAGCCATTCTTCGTCTCCTTTCCTTATTAATGTCTCACAGCCTTTTCATCAGAATCAGACAACAAAGTCTCTTGATGAATTGAATCAGAAAGTTGCAACGTTTAGATCCTTGGGCTTTGTTACATCCTTCAAGGAACCAGGGTAGGTGTTTTCTTCTCTTGTCTTACCTCTATTTTCTTTGAGGCAATAAAACAGAGTTGAAGGTATATCCTAGAAGAGAGAAAGAAAGACTAGAAATTGCTTAACCTTCATGGGTGTTCGAGTATGCTTTCTTGACTTTGATTTTGTTGATTTGTTCATTTTATATTTAAGGGGTTTAGAGTGGTTGATAGGCAAAGAGTCTGTTTCCATGGTTTCCTCAGAACAAGATTGGCAACATCTCAGACAACAGAGAAAAGTTGAACTACCTAGCACCTCCCCTGTTCTCAACCAAGATTATAACTAGGAACCTCTAAGCTTTAATTCATATGTAAATTATGGAAAGATCAAGAAATTAACAATTGCCCTTTGTTTCTCAACCCTGACATAAATCCTCTAGAAAAACCCCAAGAAACTCCTAGAAGGAGCTTTATTAATGCATGGTCTAGTGATGGCCATAATGCAAATCCTTACAGCAAAACAAATGAAAGGGTTTCTTTGTCATCACTTTCTCTCTTAATAAGAGGCAACAACATTGTTGATAATGAGATGGGTCATATCCATATGGGCGTAGGAGTAATTGACCCTAATCAAAATCAAGAATATGGTGCCAAATCCCATCTCTCAAATTGGCTCCCTCCTGCTTCTTGGACGGCTCCCACACTAAGAAAACCACTTGCTGAGGCGCTAAGGCGAAGCAAGGTGAACCATGCCGTGGCTGCGGCCGCCGCCATCACCATCGAAGCCAACTCTAATCCATATGTTGGTGAATTTATGAGAAATGGAAGGGACTTGGATGAGAAGGGAGATACACGGGAGTTTCCTCTTTGGTGAGGTGAAGACTCCATTTTCTTATTCATGCTCTGTTATTAAATAGCAGAAATATCTCAATACATCAATAGTAATTTTCATACTTATTTAATACATTTAATGCAAGATTACATTAAAAGACTTACTGCCACTTGTGCAGCTTCATTTCCTGTCATTTGCTGTCACTTGTGTAGCTTCATGTGGTTGTACTTGCTGCTACTTTGTAGCCATATTTGCATTTCATTACAGCCTCATTTCATCAACATTTGCAGCATAGCTTGCTGCACTCTGTTGCAACCGTGTTTGGTGCAGCTTTTCCTTCATTTCATTTTGCTGCCTCTTGTGTAGCTTTGACACCATAGCTCCAAGACTCCTCCTTGGTGTTAAAGCTAAGGATAACATGACATTAACCAAGCATTTGGAATTTTCCATTTGTGCACTTCTTTATGTTTTGGTTTTGACTTTTTGTTGTTGCTAAAGCATCTCCTTTAGTAGATTAGCTCCTCCTTCAATGTTGCAACATCATCTTTCTTGGATTTGCTACTTTAACTCATTTTTTGGAGCTTTGTTGAGCCATTTTGCTGTCTCATTGCAGCAAACATCACAGCTTTGATGCCATTTTTCAGCTTTTCTATGCTTGGTGTTGGTGAAACCTCCATCAAAGCCACATCCATGAAGAGTTTTCTTGGGAAAACTCAAGACATAACCATAGCAAACATAAATGATGGATGGACATATCATGAAATGAAACTGATTTTTTTTGTGTTCAATTTCCCATTCCATCAACCATGTTTTGCCTTATAGACTGTTTTTTGAAACAAGCATGAACACCTTCTCTTTGAATCCAGTTTTCCTTTCCTTGACATCTCCCATTGTGGGACTAACATATGCCTCCATCTTCACGACCTTTTTTGCTGCAAGATTTTGGCCAAGCAAGAGGGGTTTCATGTGAAGAACCCTATGAAAACAATCAAAAAGGTGGGGTTTTTCCTAGTGTTCCCTCAAAATCACTCTTAGAGGTCCCTCAAAGATCATTGAAGCCCTGATACCATGTTGGTGAATTTATGAGAAAAGGAAGGGACTTGGAAGACAAGGGAGACACACGGGAGTTCCCTTTTTGGTGAGGTGAAGACTCCATTTTCTCATTCGTGCTCTGCTATTAAATAGCAGAAATATCTCAATACATCAACAGTAATTTTCATACTTATCTAATACATTTAATGCAAGATTACCTTAAAAGACTTGCTGCCACTTGTGCAGCTTCATTTCCTTTCATTTGCTACCACTTGTGCAGCTTCATGTGGCTGTACTTGCTACTACTTTGCAACCTCATTTGCATTTCATTACAGCCTCATTTCATCAACACTTGCTGCACTTTGCTGCTACCATGTTTAGTGCAGCTCTCCCTTCATTTCATTTTACTGCCACCTATGCAACTTTCTTTCCATTTGCTACCTCTTGTGCAGCTTTGACACCACAGCTCCAACACCATTTTTTCCCCCTGGTTCTACGTACAGAAGGTGACCCTTATAGGAGTGAAATGTAGCCACCATAGCAGGCCAACATTTAGCAATTCAGGGGCCAAACCAGAGATCATTGTTGTTGGTTTATGATCTTAGATTGTGGGACTTGGTTTTGCAATCGTGCTTTATATTAGAAGTTCTTTTCTTTTTTTTTTTTCTTGGATTTTATAGTGATTTTGTGAACTTGAAGAGCCTAAATATGTTGCTTGTTTTGGGCATGGAAGAATATAGTATCCTCATATCATGATTTGTATTTTCATTTTTGGCTTGAGGAGATGCAGTTCCTTAGCTGCTATAGGATTTTATTTTTGGCAAGTACAGGGGACCTTGTTTGAAAAATTGTCCTTCTCCTGCACAATTTTTGTTCTTTTGCACGATATTTGTCATCCCACATATGTGCAAAAGTTTGTCCATCAGGAAAATGCGTTATTTTTCTTAAATGTTGTATTTTTTGTCTATTTCATGAAGAGTCACGCACACTACTAAAATTTTTTCTTTTTTCAACCAACTATTTTCCAACACAGTTTACACTGGAAAATAGTATATTATTTTCCAGCGCAATTAAAATTTTGTATAAAATATCTAAGATCCATAAATAATTTTCAAGTAAAACTAATTTTTCAACGCACTATGTTGGAAAATAATTTAGCGCCATAATTTGATTTGGTGCCCTCTTATTTTCCAACGTAGAAAATAATGTTTTTAGTGTTACTGTTGACAAGAAAAATTTTCAAAAATCAAAAACATGTTTTTCACATTTTTTTTCAGCACAGTGCACTGGAAAATGTTTAGAATCGTCAAAGTTAAATAGTGGAAATGGGTGCAGTTTATTTTCTAGTGCCTTGCGCTGGAAAATACACCTATGTATTTGGTTCAACTTATTTTCCAGTGCATTGCGCTGGAAAATAGTAGTGTCTATTTGGTGCAGATTATTTTCCAATGCAGTGTGCTGGAAATTAGTTGTATCCATTTGGTTTAGATTGGTTCAAGTTATTTTCCACCGCAGTGCGTTGGAAATATCAGTGCCCATTTGTTGTAGATTATTTTCCAGTGCAGTGCGTTGGAAAATAGTAGTATCCATTTGGTTTAGATCGGTTCATATTATTTTCCACTGTAATGTGCTGGAAAATAGTAGTGCCCATTTGGTTTAAATTATTCCAGTGCAATGCACTGTAAAATAGGCCTGTGTATTTGGTTAGGTTATTTTCTAGTGTAATGTGCTGGAAAATAAGTTTATCTGAAATTTAAAGTTTAACGTTCAAACGCCATTTTTTCCTTGTAAAATTTTCAAAATTCCGCCCACATTATTTTCCAGCGCAATGCGCTAGAAAATGAGTTTATCTAAAATTTAAAATCCAACATTCAAGCGCTATTTTTTCCTTGTAAAATTTGCAAAATCCCACCCACATTATTTTCCAACGCAATAATACTTATCTATATAAACCTTCCTTTAGCATTTTCTCCCATCTTCCTCTTTCTTCTCTTTCATTTTTCTCATCCTTTATCCGAATTCACTTTCTTTTTTCTCCTCTCTTCCTTTACCCCACTCATATATTTCACTTTCTCATCTTAATCATTCCTTTCCTCTTCTCTCCATTTCCTTGTCCTTCTCCTTTTCCATTTCATCTTCATTTCTTCTACTTTCTTTTTTGCTTTTCTTTTACTCTTTCCATTCCTCTAATATGTTGCTTGAAATAAGAGGTACTATTCATTTTAATTTATTAGTAGTATAATTTTCAATTTTATTTATATTAACTCTCATATATATAT